TTGTCTCAAAAAAAAACAAAAAACAAAAAACAAATCACTTCCTTCAAAAAATAAACTATCTGGATCTTTTCTATATAAAATCAAAATAAAGATTAACAGAACTAACTACAACTTGTAGTAAACCACAAAAAAAACCTGTAACAATCTGAAGTTATCACATATTTAAAAAACTGGCATGACTGTCTTATATTTCCTATTGTCTTAAGTTTTAGAATAACATCTATTAAGAGAAACATTATTCCCCTTAATCTAAATGAAAGTATTCAGAATTAGCCTAGATTAATTTATTCTATTTATCCTGTTAGCCTATTACTGGTAAGTAAGCTGATGACGACATTACCATAAGTTAATTTCAACTGCACTCAGTCTGTTGCTAGTGATGAGTCTGTTGTAATATCCTGGTGTCTCCAAAATTACAAACTGCGGTGGCTTCACGACTTCTCACAGGCAAATCTTTAAAATGTTAAAATACTTATTTACCTGAAACGGTTTCTGGTAGATTTCTTCCATCGCAAGTCTTCCATACTCTGTAAATAACTATTAAATCGAGTTAGTTAAAATAATGCCTCTAAAGAGATTGAAAGAAGACATGTGTTAACCTGTTCTACATCAAGGTTCCAGGTGCCAGAACCTTTAAAACCATTTGAAAGCCAAACATTTAATTTTCTAACACACTAAGTATATACAAAATTTCTTCCAGTTAAGAAGCCATACATCAGTTTAAACCCATATAACATTCAATTGTGTTATCAGTATTATAGGTTTCCAAATGTAAACTCACAATAAAGTGAGAATTAAATTTTCAACACTTGGCACATTTTCTCTAAGAAACATGTACTTGCAGCCGGGCACAGTGGCTCATGCCTGGTAATCCCAGCACTTTGGGAGGCTGAAACAGGCGGATCACCTGAGGTTAGAAGTTCAAGACCAGTCTGACCAACATGGTGAAACCCCATATCCACTAAAAATACAGAATTAGCCAGTCTTCACTAAAAATACAAAATCAGCCCGGCATGGTGGCACATGACTGTAACCCCAGCTATTTGGGAGTCTGAGACAAGAGAATCCCTTGACCTTGGGAGGGGGAGACTTCAGTGAGCTGAGACTGTGTCATTGCTCTCCAGCCTGGGCAACAAGAACAAAACTCTGTCTCAAAAAACAAAAAATACGTACTTGCAAATGTTGAAGATCATCTTCTTGAATATTCTGAGACAGATTATATACCTGTTAAAACAAAATTTATTTTGTTTTTTATTAGTGTTTTGTTCTGAATACCCAGCTTGTATATAACTTTAGTTGTGGAAACACAGGTCATTTCATACCTCAGCGCAAAGGAATCATTTAACCACTATCTTGATGAGTGACATGTGAAAAGGATTTTCTCTTTTTCCTAACAATAGTCAAGATAGAATATTAAGGAAGAAGCAGTGGTGGTAAAATATGTAAAAATCATGAATATGTGTATACTCATGGTCTAAAAGTGGGAGAAAAACAAGTGTAATATCTAGTAGGTTTCTTTTACTCCTTCTCAAAGCTCTTTAAGTTATGATATGATCTTTTTTTAAAAAAAGTATAGGTTATTTCCACCACCATTTTTCTAAATTAGTGAATGTAAGGGGCAATAGTTTATAAAAATAATTCCTCCCTGGTACAATCAGAGTATACAGTTACTCAGCGGGTGCCTCGACTACCATCAATTCTAATGTGGTTCTCTTTTTACTCACACTCATCAGTTTACTTACTCATCAGTTTTTACTTACACTCAACATGACGATTTTACTGGCCTGTGGAAGCTAACAGAAATAACAGTAGGTGGCACTCCTGCTCTTTCCAGAATTTTTAGGAGGCAACTAGAGCTGATAAAGGAGGGTCTAAGTATCTTCAGGAAAGGGGGATTTTCATCCATTAATTCTACGACAGATCTTTAGAAGGTAATCTACACTGTCACAGGGGAAAAGTGGCCATCAACAGATACCACCTCTGCTAAGAAATAACTTACATCTTAGGAACCAGGGTGACTCCAAAGACAGAACAGTCTAACAGCAAATAAGTGATACTCTGGCTAAACCTCTTCGAGGTCAAGAATATAGTCAATTTAGGCCAGCAATCCTAAAATGATATTCTTAGCTACTAGTTCTAAACAAGAATTTAAAAAGTAATTAATGGCTGAGGTGATTAAACTTTAGATTTAAACATAAACCCTGACACTATGACCAACCTATGTGTGCCTTTGCTTTCATTGTCAGGGCCAGGTTGCAAACAGCAGAGAAGGGGATTTATTTAACTTAGATCATTAGTACTTAGCATACTGTCCTGTATGTAACAGGTGCTCAGCATGTATTTGTTGAAGAAATAAATAACAAGAAGATAAAATTATCACTCATCTATCAGTCAGATACCTTACATAAGGAAAGAAAATTACCCTCCCTCAAAGGCAAGAAAGAAAACAATAATAATCTTAATCTTCTTGGTATTTATACTTTACAAAGCACTTTCATATGCATTATCTCATTTAAATCTCATTTCTGACTACACACAACAACTGCATGCGAGATAGGCAAGATGAGTAAAACTCATTTTACGGACAACAAAGTGGATGCGCAGCTTTAAGTGGCTGTCCAAAACCAGGTCTCTTACTATCAAAAAGTTGAATAAAGAAACAAGAAAGGACCAAGGGATAAGTTTTAAGACAGAGAATTCCCTCTACAGCCAGCTAACCTGAGGGGCTTCTGCTTGCTTCAAGGAAACTGCAGTTGTGCCATCTTGCAAGATCAGAGAAAAAAAAGAGACTCAGAGGGTCCCCAACAGCATCATTTAGTGGGTAATGACAAATGTCCCAACCCATAATAAACTGAAGTTGAAGAGAATTCTTCTTTTAGCTCATGTTAATAGCCAACCTCCTTCCCACTCTGATGGCTAGGTACTTCAAACTGAGGAAGGAGGGAAATGGGAGCTTAGAGAGACAAGTCATATGTTCCAGACATTACTGGAAAGCATAAAAAATATCCAAGACACTGTGACAGCATCACCTATGATCCACCACCAATAAGAACAATTTCTTATCTTGGGAGGATCACATACCCATTTTAAAAAAATATTTACAAATATATTTCTTGATACACCATCATCAGCTGGGCCTAACCGCCATACTTCAATAATTCATTTTTCAGAGATGTATCAGCCACAGCTGATCTCAGTAAAGAAAAAGTAAAGAAATACCAAATGACATGTGGTGGTTTAATTCAGTCTAATCCATCTAAATTATACAGAAAAGAAATGGCCTAGCCTGAAGAAACTAGAACCCAACAGAACACCAAATACAATTTGAATATAAGTGAAAAAGAGAAGGGGTTTTATCCCTTTCTAAATGAAGCAGGTGCTAAAAAGCCTGTTTATTATTACATTAAATTCAACATTAATTAATTCTTCTGTTTTTATCTCCTTTAGTTCAAATAACTGAGTATCAGTTGTTATAGATATGGAAGAGAAAACTAGAATTCTAAACTTAATTACCTGGGTTTTTTGTTTGACAAAAAAAACAAAAATGTACTCTCCACATTATTGTGTCTGGTAGCCATCTGACTGATTTCAATTACAGATAACATGTGATATCTTTTCCTTTAAAAAAAAAAAAAAAAAAGCATATATTCCATAATGAAAAACCAAAGAGACTGGTTGTTGGTTTACGGTATCCTTTGTAACTATCCCAAAATTTTGCATCCTAAGCCAGAACACCATGCATGGAAATGTAAATAACCAATAAAAAATGTAAACAGCTCTCAAGAAATGTAAATAGCTCTCTTTAATCCTTTTTTTCCCCTTCAATCAAAAGGCATTTTGCCAGGACAAGGTGACACATCCTGATAGTCCCAGGTACTCAGGAGGCTGAGGCAGGAGGATCACTTCAGCCCAGGAGGTCAAGGCTAGAGAGTGCATGACCACACTCATGAACAGCCACTGCACTCCAACATGGGCAACATATTGAGAATCCACCTCAAAAAACAAAACCAAAACGGCATTTTCAAGAGAGGCCAAATGCCGAGTGTGGTGGCTTAACGCCTGTAAACCTAGCATTTTGGGAAGCCAAGCCAGGTGGATCACCTGAGGTCAGGAGTTCAAGACCAGCCTGGCCAACATGGTAAAACCCCGTCTCTACTAAAAATACAAGAACTTTGCTGGGTGTGGTGGCAGGTGTCTGCAATCCCACCTATTTGGTAGGCTGAGGCAGGAGAATCGCTTGAACCCAGAGGCAGAAGTTGCAGTTAGCTGAGATCGTGCCATTGCATACCAGCCTGGGCAATAAGAGTGACGCTCCAGCTCAAAAAAGAAAAAAGGAAAAAAAAAAAAGAGGGGCCAAACAATTATGTGAACTGATCAAACCACTTAATCTTGTGTCTCACCTGGACAGAGCTAGTCATAGTGCTCAAAGCAAACACCGTTGCACAGTCTTTGATAGTTGACTGGCTATCAAAGGCACCCTGGGTATCCATAAGCAGCACAGCAACCTAGGAATTCGAGAGTTTAAAATATTTAGTAAAACAGTTGCCAAAAATAACTATTAAAAAAATCAAGTGATAAATCTGAAAATCAGTAAATCAAGAAAAATACTTATACCTCATACATTTGACATAATAACCCATATGTTAAAGTCATCAAATAATAATAGTTCTGTGTTGTTTTGATTTTTAATATCAGAAAATAGCCCAAGAAAGAATACAGGGTAGAAAAGTATAACAAAATTTTACTTTAGTTCCATTAGGTCTGTCAATCACAAATACTTCATTCCAAACTTGTATGCCTGTTGTTTCTCTTTCACAACCACCTCGCCATGTAAAGCCTGTCAATGGTTCATTGTTTCCACCAATCCAACTTTGAGAATCCTGTTAAAGTCAAAGATAAATGTAAAATAAAACACAATTAATAAATAAAAGAAACCAAAAAAATCACCCATTCTTTATTTTACAGACAGGGAAGCTAAACTCAGAAAGATAAAAAACACTGTAACATCCAAAGCAGTCCTTAAATCTCAGGTGGGGTTCTTTCTCTTATAGAGATGTAGTCTCCTCCAAACGTGAAACTTCTCAAATCAGATCACACTACTACTCTCTAAGCTTCCAAATAAGTGGGGTCATACTCACTTTCCTCCTTTTTAGAAAGATTTCCTGGCCAGGCATGACAGCTCATGCCTGCAATCCCAGCGCTCTGGGAGGCTGAAGTGGGCAGACCACTTGAGGCCTGAAGTTTGAGACCAGCCTGGCCAACGTGGCAAACCCCATCTTTACAGAAGGAATACAAAACTTAGCCAGGTGTGGTGGCGCACTCCCGTAGCCCCAGCTACTCAGGGGGCTGAGGTTCAAGGATCACCTGAACCTGGGAAGTTGAGGCTGCAATGAGCTGAGACTGTGCCACTATACTCCAGCCTGGGTGACAGAGTGAGACCCTGTCTCAAAAAAAAAGAGAGAGAGAAAGATTTCCTAAAATGTTTAAAATCACAGAAAAATCAACACCAATTATTTTACCATCTTCTTACACAGAGAAACAAAACTGTGTTCCAGGTAGAATGACTGTCAAAACAGCACTGCTCTCTTAGAATGGCTTATATTAAGAAGTTTTCACACTGCCTTCATTTCCTCTTTAAAAAAAATAATCAATTTTAGGCTGGGTGCAGTGGCTCATGACTGTAATCCTAGCACTCTGGGAGGCCAAGGTAGGTGGATCACCTGAGGTCAGGAGTTCGAGACCAGCCTGGCCAACATGGCAAAACCCCATCTCTACTAAAAACACAAAAATTAGCTGGGCATGGTGGTACACATCTATAATCCCAGCTACTCAGGAGGCTGAGGCAGGGGAATCCCTTGAACCCTCGAGCGGACGTTGCAGTGAGCTCAGATCGTGCCACTGCACTCCAGCCTGGGCGACACAGCAAAATTCTGTCTTAAAAAATTATATATCAATTTTAAAAATAATCCCAAGACATATTTGGAACCTGGTTTAACCAATCCAACTATTTCAAATGCCTTTTTTGAAACCAACAGGAAAATATGAACTGAGACTGGTTATCTCGTTAGATCATGTTAAATTAGGGTAAAGATTGTTTGGTGTGCTAATGATACTGTGGTTAAGAAAAAAAAAATAATAGAGTCCTTATCTGTTAGATAATCAAATATCTGTAATGAAAGGATATGCCTGGCATTTGCTTTAAAATATTCCAAGAGGTGTGGGGAAAAGAGAACAGATAAGCCCAGCAAAATGTTGACAGGTACATTGGGGTTCATTATACAATTCTCTTTATTTTAGGATGTGCTTAAAATTTTCCATAATAAAAGGTTTTAACTAGAACCACAGGGCTAAATTGTTATTATGAAATAATACAAAACTTAATACATAAGGTAATTTATCTAGAAAATTAAATCTGGGACATAATAAATTATTTCCTTTGACAGCCATCAAGATCCCTATACTTTAGGATACTTAAAGCCTATATAACCTTTATTCAATGTACCCCCCAGGAAAAATTCCCTTGTTTCAGAAATACTTCTAATAAGCTTGGATATCTAGTCTAAAACAAACTGAATTAGGAGTGGAGAGATGTTTAAGACAGGACCAATGAGGGATGAGGCAACTGATGAAAAGCAGATACACAGCAGCAAAAATAAAAACAAAATAGTGTCAGCCAGGCACGGTGGCTCACACCTATAATCAATCCCAGCACTTTGGGAGGCTGAGGCGGGCAGATCACTTGAAGCTAGGAGTTCAAGACCAGCTTGGCCAACATGGTGAAACTCAATCTCTACTAAAAAGACAAAAAAAAAAAACTTAGCCAGGCGTGGTGGCACATGCCTGTAATCCCAGTTACTTGGAAGGCTGTGGCACAAGAAATAGCTTAGACCCGGGCTTCAGGCAGGTTGCAGGAGGCGGAGGTTGCAGTGAGCTGAGATCGCACCACTGCACTCCAGCCTGGGCAACAGAGAGAGACTGTCTCGAACAAAAACAAAACAAAGACAGTGTCATCCAGACCATCACCTGACACAGTCTTAAACTTCAAATTATCTTTAATTATTATTCCACAAAACTCCCATCCCCAGTAGGCCACCAATCCTATCAATTAGAAACTTCTCTAGGATTCATTTCTTTTACTTCATTTTTCAATACCTTCAACTTAAGTATCTCATCTCTGCTGGTTATAAGGCTGTTACCTGAGACAATTCCATTCACAGTATACATAATGGACTTGTGTTTTAGGAGGCACTCTTCACAGGAATCAGAAGATAACTGACACTCCCCGGCCAAGCAAAATGGTGATCCTGCCCCTTGACTACATATTTGGATACTTTGTATTGGTCTCTACACACCTCCTGCTCTAACCACTAACCCGTTTTTCCCACAGTCACTGAATGTTCACAAGAAATGTAATCGTGCCACTGTCCTGATAAAAAGTCATCTATGGCTCCCCACTACCAATAAGACTATCTGTAGATCTGCTGCATAACAATCCATTTTTTCTTTTCTTTTTTTGAGACAGGGTCTCACTCTGTCACCCAGGCTGGAGTGCAGTGGCACAATCAGCACTCACTGCAGCCTCATCCTCCCAAGCTCAAGCAATCCTCCCACCTCGGTCTCCCAAGTAGCTGAGACCACAGGTGCACACCACCACACCTGGCTGATTTTTGTATTTTTTGTAGAGACAGGGTTTCACCGCATTGCCCAGGCTGATAACAATCCATCTTTAATTTACTCTTATCTATGCTCCTGATATTCCCCGAAGATCTCAACACACATCTTCCTGATTCTACCATACCAAAAAAGTTACCATTCCCCAAACGTATATGTAGTTTAGCTTAGCTATACCTCTGTTCTACCTATTCTCTGCCTAGACTCAGTCAGCAGTCAAGAAACTTCAACTTTTCTGTACTCTTAAAGTGTATTATTGATACTGCATGGAGTTACCTTTATATGGTTTTGCAGTTCTTGTGTGAGTCTCCTGAGAGCAAAGGCTGTAAAGAATCATCTTTGTTCACCAAAAACTGCTCCTATCAAAGTGCTTTGCACTGTTGTAAGTTCTCACATGCAGAATCTCATTCCCACACAATGTCAAAAAAAAAAAAAAAAAAAATCTGGTACTTAATGAATTTATTATTTGTAAAAGTTACAGCCTACACAAATAACTTAAAAGAATCTATCCTCTAAGAGAACTCTGGTTTTACTCTACATTTTACTAATTTCTATCTCCTCTACAAGAAGGTAAGTTTCATGAAAGTTTTGTTTGTTTCATTCTTACAAGTATTCCCAGCACAGAGAATAGTGTGCTTGGCTTGTAGTAGGTACTCTAAGTATTTCTTAAATAAATAAAAAATTTTACTTACAAACTTCAATGTACTCCCTTTTGTGCATGAGTAATAAATACAGAAGAAATATGATCTGTTATCATTCCTAGAAACCATACAATTACATGAAGACAGTTAAAATAAATGTTTGAAAGTATAGATGACTGAAATCATAGGCTTATATGTTTGCTAACCCCCTCATCTAAAGAAACTTTAAAAAGAGTTGGTGTCTCATAAAAATCTATGTATCATCTTTTCTTAGGTTACCTTGTAATAGAAATGTTTTTAAAAATACTAAACTGATTAGTCAGCAAAAGGATGAAAGAAGCTGAGTGTGGTGGCTACACCTGTAATCCCAGTACTTCAGGAGGCCAAGGCAGGAGGATCACTTGAGCCCAAAAGTTCAAGGCTGCAGTGAACTATGATGATGCCATCACACTCCAGCCTTGGTGACAGAGTGAGACCCGGTCTCTATTTAACAATAACAAAGACGAAAAATAAATCAGAGAACCTAATTAGTGTCTTCAAAACTAATACAAGTCTACAATTTCCCTAACATAGTGAACTCTGATAGCTTTCATAAAACAGAGTCATTCATTCATTAAATATTTACTGAACCTCTACCATGTGCCAACCATTTTTCTAGGGATGCAGCAGTAAATACGAATAAACATTCCTGCCCTCAATGAGAATTTGAGTGGGAGCTAGAGGTAGCGTTGTGATAACAGACCCTATCTGCTGTGTTAATTTACTAAAAGCAAACCTAACAACTCAAAAACACTAATCTGATACTACTTACTGCTATGGAGACAAAAGCCTCAAAACTCAGAAATACAAAAGTAATCCTATTCCACTAGGAATATAAATTAAATAGGAAAAAAAGAAGTACTTAGAGAATAAATCTCAATTGCAAAAGGCAATCTGAAATCACCAGAAGTTCTTTTTTGAGCTGGGGTCTCACTTGCTATGTTGCCCAGGCTGGTGTTTTAACTCTTGAGCTCAAGCAATCCTCCTACCTCTGCACCTCAGCCTCTCAAAGTGCTGGGATTACAAGCGTGAACCATGATGTCCGGCCTGAAGTTTAAGTATAATCAGATAGTGAATAAATACAGCCTTGCCAAAAAGACGTTCTACATAATATAATTATTAGCAATAAAGAAAACTTACCTACACTAAACAGTAAGAAACAAATTCATATTTCACCAAAGGTAAAGTACATTCTCTAGCAACAAAGTGAAACAACTATGTAAACATTTATCTGGTTAGAGAGAAAGAAAAAGAGACAGACAGACGGGGTCTTGCTCTATCGCCCAGGCTAGACAGCAGTGGCATGGATCATGGCTCACTGTGGCCTTGACCTCCCAGGCTCAAGTGATCAAACAAAGAGTTAGCTGTCTTGCCAGGCCTACATGTATTAGAGCACACCCGCTTCTGATTGCTGGCAAGCTGACTCCCTTTCACAGTGGACAGGCTGGAAGAATAAAGGTTCAAACAGAAGCCATAAATTATCTCAACTAAAAGGATTAAAAAGGATGAAATTAAGATTCAAATAGTGCTACAATAATAAGCGAGATCCTCCCTAGTTGCATGGCACTCCCCATGCCACCACAAATGAAAATCTTCATCTGTATAAAACTAGTATCTATTCAGGAGACAGGTTATTAACACTCAGCACCCAAACTGATGGACAGGATAAATACTGTACACATTCTAGCCACCAACTGTATTTACTATTTTCATTTGAATATGTGAGAACACTCTGCAAGTCCTGGAACAAATTATAAAACATTTGACTTTAAAATAGTTTAAAACTGTCTAACATCTTATCCAACCCCGTCCCCATCCATGTCCAACTCTTCCCTTCTGGGGCTAGACAAATCAATGAAATTATGACTGACCCAAGTCATGAGCCCAGACAAAGGACAACTCTAACAACTTAGGTACATGCTGAAGAGGAATTTAATATGTTTTGATAAAAGGTTCTGCTTAAAAAGTGTTTTTGACTTTGAAGACACTGTGCTAAATGAAATAAGCCACACACAAAAAGACAAATATTCCATGATTCCACTCATAACGAGGTGCTTAGTCAAATTCATAAGGACAGAAAATAGAATGGTAGATGCCAGGAGGAGGAGGAAATGGGGAGTTAGTGTTTAATGGGCACAGAGCTTCAGTTGGGGAAGATGAAGACGTTCTGGAAATGGATGGTGGCAATGGCTGCACAGCAATGGGAACAGACTTGATGCCACTGAACTGTACACTTACAAATGGCTAAAGAGGTACATTTTACGTTATGCATATCTTACCACAATTTAAGAAAAAAAAACGTACCCTTGAAAGCTAACAAAACGGAAAGGGCAAATACCTTTCGTAATTAAATTGAGATGTGGCTTGGTCTTCCATTAGACTTCCAGTTTCAGCTTTCTCATGTAAAAAGTTTAGAAGTCATCAGACCCATCTTTACAACAAGAAAAAAAGCTGAGCAAACTGAAAAATCAATAACTCTCCTTTCTTAGATCAAAGAACTGAGGTCACAGGTCTAACCACCTCTGCAAAATCACAAGAAACAAACTAACACAAAGGATCATGAGTTGAGGTCGGCTTACCAGCAACTGGTAGGAACACTTAAATGGCAATTTGAATAAATTGTCAAAAGCTGAGAGTGAACTAGTTTAAGAGTGAAAAACCCCTAGAGGCTCAGTCTTAGCAAACCCCACACTTTCCCGAATTTTATCTCAAAGAACTTCACAAAGTTCTCAAAGTAAAAATGGAACAAAGGTTTCTCATGACTGACAAGGGTATAACCACTACACACACACACACACACACACACACACACACACACAGAGAGAGAGAGACAGAGAGAGAGAGAGAGAGAGAGACAGAGAGAGAGACAGACAGAGAGACAGAGACAGACAGAGAGACAGAGACAGAGACAGAGACAGAGACAGCAGTCCCCAAAACAAAAGTCTGCCCTCTTGAGAAAATCTAACCCTAGGCAGGAGCAATTAGCCAACTCCAGTCCCGTCTAGGCTTTCTGTCTAGTTTAAGATTTAAAAAAAAAAAAAAGGGTTGAAGCCCAGGACTCAAGCCCACTAAAAAACTAAGGAGCTAGAGGTGCAGTGGTGTGTGCCTGTAGTCCCAACTATTCAAGAGGCTGAGCTCGGGAGTTCAAGACCAGCCTGGGCAACACAAGGAGACTCTGTCTCAAAAAGAATAAAAATAAAACTAAGATTTACCCATAAGGTGACATATGATGCTTCCACTCTCCTACATATTACCACCTCATCAACAGGGCTCCAATATAATAACAATATAATAACAGGATTACAAATAAGAAAGCTGCAAGACAACAGATTTCGAATTCGATAAGTCTTGGGAAACCATAAATAGGGAGAAACTGAAGCCTCTAGGATCTGCAGCTACAGAAAACATTAAACACAGTAGATCTTCAAGCTGGATTAACATATAACCTCATAATAAAAGCCTAAATCTTCATTCTTTATTACCTGATACTTCATGTCTAGCTTTTAGCAAAAAATTACAAGCCAGGCCAAAAGGCAAGAAAAAATAGACTAAAAAGACAAAAAAAACATCAGAACAAGACTCAGATATACAAATTTTAGAATTATAAGATAGGAAATTGATCCAGGAAGAGGACAGAACACAAAGCAGGATAAATACCAAAAAATCCCCACTAGGTATATCATAGCTAGCTGCAAAGTAACACAAAAAGAAAATCTTGAAAGAAGCCAGGGACAAAACACTTTACCTATAGAGGAACAAAGATAAGAATTACACTGAACTTCCCATTAAAAATCATGCAAGCAGATAGGGATGGTGGCTCATGTCTGTAATTCCAGCACTTTGGGAGGGTGAGGCAGGTGGATCACCTAAGGTCATGAGTTCAAGACCAGCCCGGGCAACACAGTGAAACCCCATCTCTGCTAACATACAAAAATAAAATTGGCTGGGTACAGTGGCTCGTGCCTGTAATCCCAGCACTTTGGGAGGCCAAGGTGGGCAGATCATGAGGTCAAGAGATGGAGACCATCCTGGCCAACAAAGTGAAATCCCATCTCTACTAAAAATACAAACATTAGCTAGGTGTGGTGGCACACGTCTGTAGTCCCAGCTACTCAAGAGGCTGAGGCAGGAGAATCACTTGAACCCAGGAGGCAGAGGTTGCAGTGAGCCAAGACGGTGCTACCACACTACAGCCTGGCAAGAGAGAGAGCCTCCCTCTCAAAAAAAAAAAAAAAATTAGCTGGCGTGGTGGCATGTGCCTGTGGTCCCAGCTACTTGGGAGACTGGGGCAGGAGAATCGCTTGAACACAGAAGGCGGAGGCTGTTGCAGTCACACAAGATTGTGCCACTGCACTCCAGCCTGGATAACAGAGCAAGACTCCATCTCAAAAACTAAAAGAAAAAAGAAAACAAGTATTATAGCAATGGAACAGAACTGAGAGTCAAGAAATGAATTCTTATGTTTATAATCAACTGATTTTCAACAAGGTACCAAAAGCATTCAATAGTAAAAGTGTTGAACAGTCTTTCCAAAAATGGTGCTGGGACAGATAACCAAAAAATGAAGGAAAAAGCCTCTTTCACATCATTATTATAACATATACAAATAAAAATATTATGTAATTAATGTATTATGTATTAATATTATAGTATTATTCCTAATAGCAACAAAGTTGCAACCAATTGTCCATTAACTGACGAATGGATAAAATGTGGTATATCCATATAAGAATATTACCCAGCCATAAAAAGAAAGAAGTACAGATACATGCTATAATATGGATGAACCCTGAAAACATTATGCTAAGTGAAGCCAGTCACAAAAGACCACATTTTTTAAGATTCCACTTACATGAATGGCCAGAATAGACAAATCCATAGAGACAGAAAATAGATTAGTGGTTCCTTCAGGTTGAGGGTTTGGAGAAAGGCTGTGGGAGTAACAGCTAAAGGGCTGTTAAGGGATTCATTTTGGGATGATGGAAACTTTCTTTTTGAGACAGGGTCTTGCTCTCTCCCAGGCTGGAGTGCAGTGGCACAATCAGGGCTCACTGCAACCTCAACCTCCTGGGCTCAAGCCATCCTCCTGCCTCAGCCTCCTGAATAGCTGGAACTACAGGTATACACCACCACGCTCGGCTAATTTTTTAACTTTTTGTAGAAGTGGAGTCTCCTTATGTTACCCAGACTGGTTTCAAATTCCTGGGCTCAAGCAATCCTCTCGCCTTGGCCTCCCAGAGTGCTGGGATTACAGGCATGAGCCACCATGCCCTGCCAGTGGAAACATTTTTTAATTAATTGTGGTAATAGTTACACAACTCTGTGAATATATGAAAAACCACTGAATTGCACACTTTTAAGTGAACTACTGACATGGTAAGTGAATATCTCAATAGTACTATTAAAGGAAAAACAAAAAATGAAATACTCTTAGTGCACAAAGTTCAACAAAGACTCCTAGTCACACAAAACCCACTCATATAACACTACCAGAGTCTACAGAAGAACGAATGGCCCACTAAAATTTCTGTTAACTATCCATATACTAGTGCAATGTAACATCAATATTACGGCTCAACATTGCTTCTTGATGAAAGGATTATGGTATACATTCTCCAACCTACAGAAAATGTATCATATTAAAGGAAAGAAATTTGTGAGAGAAATTCTGAAGCCAGGCTCAATGGCACATGCTTTATAGTCCCAGCTACTTGGGAGGATGAGGCAGGAGGATTGCTTGAGATCAGGAGTTCAAGGACAGCCTAGGCAATAGAGTGAGACCCAGTCTCAGAAAAAGAAATTCTGAACTAAAATTCATAAGCTGGGCTATGCACAGTGGCTCACACCTATAATCCCAGCACTTTGGGAGGCCAAAACAAAAGGACTGCTTGAGCCCAGGAGTTCAAGACCAAGCTGGGCAAAAAAGTGAGACCCTTTGGAGTCGATTACCAGAGCCCAGGAGTTCCAGGCTGCAGTGAGCTGTGATATCTCTAAAAAAATTAAAATATATTTTTAAAAAACTTATAAGCTGAATAGCAAAATTGTCCTGGCAAAGAGTGGGAAGGAAGTAGGGAGTTATTGCCTTGAAAAAGTCTCCTTCAAAAATAGTTACTATTAACATAAAAGGAACTTACATTATATAAGATAGCTTAATTCCCTAAATGTTCTAAAGCTGGTGTTTGAGTAGTCAGTGTTTATGTGTAACAGTCTGTTGCTTGAGATATTTTTCAATAAATAGCCTAAATAAAACCAATTACTTTAGAAACAGTTAATATAACCTACTAGAACAAAGACTTCGGAATGAAAAAAGATCTATAATTTATGTTCTCTCCAATCCAAAATCAAAATATGTGATGACAGGGGCGCTCTGTCTTTACGATACTGCAAAAGAGGCAGTACATACATTTGTGGCTTAAAACTGGAAAAGCTACACAGGACAGAGTATTTTCAGGCAACAGGTTCAGGAATGTAATCAAGAGAGTCTCTCTCCTAAAACACTGCAATAAGGACTTCAAACAATATTGTAAACATTTCCATCTCATTTATTTCTGATTCCTCTAGCTTTGGTAACACTTGATGAAGTTTTCCTAACTGACATCTAATCTAATTTGAAATCTACATAGGAAAGAATTAAAAATTAGTTTCAATTCCAAAATCAAAGTCTCAGCAGCAGGGACCCCCATATGCTAAGGGGAAGACAGTCCACATAACCTCTGTATCCAATCCCCTTATCTTATATTCAGGTTAAAATAATAATAATAATAATAATGATAATAATAATTAGCCCATAATTTTTATTTCCTTATTGAGTCTTAAAATTCTGGTCAAAGTCTGCCTGCTTCTCACATTGACAAAAATAATAATAATATAAAATTCAAACTTTCAGCAGTGTGTTACATAAGTTCTATAGTTTCACTTATAATAAATATTCAAAAGTAAATTCAGTTAAAGTAATAATTAAATGAATAAGCTAAACTTCTACGTTAAATCTGGCAAAAGGTTTTATGAGCAAATGAACTTGTATATAGATAATTTTAAATCAACAAAATGCACATCTATCAGAATAGCTAACATGAAAAAGATTGACAATACTGGGCACAAGATATACAGCAACTGTAAGTCTCTCACACTGCTGGTGGAAGTGTAAAATTAGTAAAACCACTTCAGAAAAAATTTTGGCAATCTCTACTAAAATTAAATGGGTATTTTTCCACTGTGAACTGGCAATTCAACTCCTGGGAATAAACCCAACAGAATTCAGTGCTTACATCACCAAGACTTGTAGAGAAATGTTCATTAGCCATTTTATTTGTAACAGACAAATATTAGAAACCCATGTCTATCAGTAGAAAGGGTAAATCATATATTATCCAGTGAAATATCACTTAGCAATAGAAGTAACATACAACATATTTTTGATACATATAACAACGTGCATACATCAGCCTTAATGCTTAGTGAAGGAAACCAGACACAAGAGTACATACTCTATGATTACATTTATGTGAGATTTTATAGCAGGCAAAACTAATCTACATTAATACAAGTCAGAACGGTAGTGGCCCTTGAGAGCCAGAGATAGCAGTAACTGGGAAGGGGAATGAGAGAGCCTCCTAGAATGCAGGAAATGCTCTCTGTCTTGATCTGAGACAGTGGTTACAATGGCATAGTTATATAAAAATGCATTGGCTATACTAAGGTTTATACACTTTAAGCATGTAAGTTACACCCAATAAAAAATAAATAATAAAATGATCCAAGAATAAGCATTTTAAAATACCGCTCCTCCTCCAAATACATTTTGTTCTTCAGAAAGAACATAAAACAAACCAAGTTTTTCTAGATGTATTCATTCATACATTTCCCATGAAATCTCAGGCACTGTTACCCTTAAAGAGGAGCGTAAAATCAAGTTCCACATCCATAGGACTCATTTCTGAGATATCTGTGCTTGTGGCAAATTATATGCAGCAGTGTGTATGATTCTTAAAGATAGTTTTTTACTCCTGGTCTCTGGCAACAGTTTAG